ACTTCCTACAGTATACCCTTTACAGAATGTGGCGCAAATGAAAAAATAATTAGGTTTGGGGTTTGTATTTTTCAAAACTTTAAACCAAGATGCTGATAATTAAATGTGCCTTTGGTGTCACTTTCATAAGCCCTAATTATGCCGAACCAGCTGCACTAGTCTAAGCTCTAAACCTCACATTTCTAGCTGCAATTACTGTTACATATAATATATTCAATATTAATTAGGTTCTACTAGTGCAATGAGAGTTCAATCATAACATTAATAGCATACCTTATAAGTTACAAAAACCAAACCACCAGCTCACAGTCTACTGGATTTGCTCTAGCAGTGGTAAATTTAAGTCTTGCACAAAGAGTTTTCAACACTAAGAAACTCTTTAATCATCTTGATTTGAGAGGATTATGACATGGATCAATTTTAATATGAATCGCATGCTGGTGAAATTCTTAGTGTGTTAAAAGAAAAAATTCAAAGTAAATACACAGCTAGCCCAACTAAACACTATTGGAAGATTAGGTTAAGCTTTAAATACGGTATGAGCATAATTCTTCAGATGTTAAGTCCCAGGAAACAATCACTTTCAAACAATCTGGCACTTAAAAGAGGGAAGATTCGACATAACTGCTAAATTGGCAGGGAAAAGGACAACGAAGAATATGGGATGCATTTTTTTCTACTATGAATCTTTTCTTTATAGCTATTTCCATACACTCAAAAATGTGCATGTATAAACTCATTGTGTGGTTTATGGGTTTCCGTTTAAAATAAATTAATCCCTCATCAGTGACAGCCAAATGCAGCCAACTAAAATGCCAAGAGTCTTTCTCACTGTCCCTCAGGAAAATATTAAATAAATATACATAAAAAAAAGATATGATGGTGATGAATGTTTCCATTACCCCATCCAAAGCTTTTGAGTTTGAAGGAGTTTTTTTGAATAAATCTGCAAAGCCGACTGAGGAATTGCAAGGAGCCTTCAGAGCAGACGGTGGAGCTATATTAACCCAAACAATACTTGAAAGCAATCATTATCACTGGAGTTGGCTTCTTGCTCTCCATCAAATAATATATCTCCATCTCAGAATAAGACTCCTCACTCTAAAATGAAACTGGAAAGGACAGAATTCTATGATTCTTCTTTCAAGAAGGTGGTACACGAGGATGATCAGGGGACTGGAGCACCTCCCGTATGAAGACAGGCTGAGGAAGTTGGGGCTGTTCAGCCTGGAGAAGAAGGCTGCGTGGAGACCTCATAGCAGCCTTACAGTATCTGAAGGGGGCCTATAGGGATGCTGGGGAGGGACTCTTCATTAGAGACTGTAGTGACAGGACAAGGGGTAACGGGTTAAAACTTAAACAGGGGAAGTTTAGATTGGTAAAAGGAGGAAATTCTTTCCTGTTAGGGTGGTGAGGCACTGGAATAGGTTGCCCAGGGAGGCTGTGAATGCTCCATCCCTGGCAGTGTTCAAGACCAGGTTGGACGAGGCCTTGGGTGATATGGTTAAGCGTAAGGTGGCCCTGCCCATGGCAGGAGGGGGTGGAACTGGATGATCTTGAGGTCCTTTCCAACCCTAATTTATGGTTCTATGATTCTATGATTCTATGATTCTATGATTCTATGAAATGTACTGAAAGGCATGAGATGGGCAGGCAGGTTAAATCCAAGCAGCCAACTGAGCCATGAACAACAAGCTGTAGGATACAGATATGTTAGGTCATCTGAGTATGAAAATATTTTCAGTGTTTGCAGATCTCTAACATTTCTTTCCTTCTTCACTGGTATGATAAATGTCAGCTTAGTATGTCAAAAGAAGCAGGAAGAGAAGCTAGCCACAACCTAGTCTGCTTGAAAGAGGCAAACTAGTTTGTTTCTTTCATTAGCAAGGAAGCATGGTAGTGAGACTTGCTGTCGTGGTTTAAACCCAGTCAGGTAACTCATTCACTCACTCCCCCCCTTCTTTCCCTCCCCCTACTCCCGGAGGGACAGAGAGGAGAATTGAAAAGAATGCAACTTCCACGGGTTGAGATAAGAACAGTTTAGTAACTAAGGTATAACACAAATCACTACTGCTACTACCAATAATAACAATGATAAAGGAAATAACAAGGGAAGAGAATACATCACCTCACCACCAGCCAACCGATAACTCACCCCCCCAGCCCAACCAAGCTCTGACCAATACCTCCTCCAACCCTGCAGACTACCACCCCTTCTGGCTAACTCCCAGTTACATCCTTGGCATGACATGCTGTGGTATGGAATACCTCTTTGGTCAGTTTGGGTCAGGTGTCCTGTCTCTGCTTCCTCCCAGCTTGCCCTCCCCCCTGGCAGAGCACGAGGCTCACAAAGCCCTTGGCCAAACCAAAACTTAATTGTTATCAGCTCTGTTCCCAGGCCAAAAGTCAAAGCACAGCACTGCACCAGCTACCAAGAAGGAGAAAAATGACTGCTACTGCTGAACCCAGGACACTTGCCCACTGTGAACTTTTTTTTTCTGGTAGAGAAGGGGCTGCACAGGTGAAAACTGAGCCAGGTGACTCTCATGTGATGCACCAAAAAACAATGCCAATGCTGATGAGGACAGAGTGTTTCGGGCTTTGCTTACTTCAATACATCTTGTTTTTCACATCCCCCACTGACAGAGTTGTAGTCAGTGGGCTCTTAAAATTGATCTGACTGATGAGACTCTCTAGGGAAAGCTTTCAAAGGAGACTATCACCTACCTCTGTTTAAAAATGTACATCAACCAGCTAACAACTTCCACTTCCCACCTGCAGATAGATAATTTGGTGGAAGTACTTAATCAAGCTCCAGTGTTATATTTAACTCAACAGATAGTCCCACAGGTGAAAAATATTCAGCTAATGAGGAATAAAAATAAATTTAATAGCAAAACAGGCTATCAAGTCACAAAATAATATGCCTTTGTCATATTTAACATCATCACAAATTACACAGCAGTTCAGTCCCTTTAAATAATAAAGAACAGAAATAAGGTGCAATGCTGACCTCTGCAACCCTCTATTTTTATGGTCCAACTGGTTTTCTGTCATGGGCAGTCTTTGACAGAGCGGGTTTGCTGGGCAGGAAGATACTGAAGCTGTATCACTCCTCACTAACAGCTCACAGCTCCTACAGCCTGCCTGGCCTGTGCTTTGTCACTACATCTTCATGTGTGACCAGAATAAATGCTTGGAAGACAACTGTGCAGATGTCTCTGTGGGGTCAATATAGTACATTTTCTTTGAACTTCTTCACCACAAGATATCCAAATTCTGCCTACACTGGAGCTCCCACATAGAGTCTGACTTGAGTGAAAAGACCTTTGTTCTGATTTGTCAAGAGTTGTCCTCTTTCCTCAGATTTTGCCTGCAAGTGCTGCTGTCTCTCACAGGCAGACAAATAAGCGCAAAAAAACCTCAGAGGAGCAATTCAAGAATCCTTCACATCCCACATGGAGATGTTTATTTCCTACTGCTTTGTTTTTCCAGAGAGAAGCTTGCTGTTCATTTACATGGGAAAGAACAATAAAAAGGAACATACAGCAACAGACTTTGGTTACCAAACATGGCACAGTATGTTAACTCCTCTTTTACTGGGGGTCCTAGTGGATGACAGGATGACCATGAGCCAACACTGTGCCCCTGTGGCCAAGAAGGCCAATGGCATCCTGGGGTGTATTAGAAGGGGGGTGGTTAGTAGGTCGAGAGAGGTCCTCCTTCCCCTCTACTCTGCCCTGGTGAGACCCCATCTGGAATATTGTGTCCAGTTCTGGGCCCCTCAGTTCAAGAAGGACAGGGACCTGCTGGAGAGAGTCCAGCACAGGGCAACTAAGATGACTAAGGGAGTGGAGCATCTCCCTTATGAGGAAAGACTGAGGGAGCTGGGTCTCTATAGTTTAGAGAAGAGGAGACTGAGGGGTGACCTTATTAGTGTCTATAAATATATAAAGGGGGAGTGTCACGAGGATGGAGCCAGGCTCTACTCAGTGGCAAACAATGATAGAACAAGGGGTAATGGGTACAAACTGGAACACAAGAGGTTCCACTTAAACTTGAGAAGAAACTTCTTCTCAGTGAGGGTGACGGAACACTGGAACAGGCTGCCCAGGGAGGTTGTGGAGTCTCCTTCCCTGGAGACATTCAAAACTCGCCTGGACACATTCCTGTGTAACATTATCTAGGTGTTCCTGCTCCGGCAGTGGGACTGGACTAGATGATCTTTTGAGGTCCCTTCCAATCTCTAGCATACTGTGATACTGTGATAAGTTTCAATAGAAAACAAATAAAGAAACTGTCTGCATGCATAAAATCTAGAGAAGTTATATTATCCGAGTTACGCACACCCTACAATTAGTACATTGCTCAAGAACAGTTCCAGGCGTAAAAACTGCTATCACACTGTAATTTCAAAAAATTATTTTAGATATGCTGTCTCCAGATATTATCAAAGATAAAGGTAAACTTAAACAACTGCAGCTATAAATCTCAACATTTCCTATTATCTCTGAAAGGCATCATTGCATCCTAGGGTAATATATACTAAGCACACCGAAGCACTTAATTTTAAAGTAATCTAGTGGTATTAATGCCACTAAGAATCTTAGAGGTGCATTTTAGTGCTTAATTGTAATGGTGAAATACAAGACATTTTTTCCTTTGGGCAGACCAACTCCTTTTCTTTACTTCTTTTGCAGGGCAGAACTGTGGGAGAATGTTCAAAATATGTTTTCTATTATGTTTTTATCAAAAACATGAAGATAAGACTGTATTAGTTTAACTTCCAAGGTATACTAAAAATTAGTGGTACTCAAAGCCAGGAAAGTAGCGGTTATGCATAGGTACATTTCCTAAGCAGAAAGAACCTTTGTAAATTCAGATAGCCATAGTAAACAGGCAATTCAAGAACTATACAAGCATATTATTTCACTGTTTCACTGAATTTTAAATGAAGAGCAAAACCCACTGTGTACAATAGTGTCTATCTCGGTACTGACCATTATCTTGAAGGACTCCTGTGGAAGCTGTTACTGTCTGTTTTACTTTAGTAGAGTTGTTAGAAAAGTGCCGTCCGGACACAGAATCCCCTGGATTATGGCTTCTTTTGTCTTTCTTTTGGGGAAACTGAGGTGAGGAACTGTTTTCTCCTGGGTCACTGGATCCAGTGGTTGATTTAGATTGCCGATCACTTCCCTGAAAAGATGTGTACATGGTTATCATTGATACAAACAACAACATTTATTTTTTTAGTTTCAATTTTATTTCAACTTTTTAATACTAAGGATTGGTGTCAAGTGTTAAAGAAGCATATTCATTTTAAATCAGTACAGTTAAGTGATAAGCTATCCAGAAAACTGTAACTATCTTATCAACTTACTATATGATCCAACTGATTAAATGTTCCTCAACAATGCCCAGAAGAAAACAATACATTTGTTATAGGGAAATAATGTTTCATTTGATGAATAGAAAGCTAGGGGAATCTACATGCATGCATGTGATATACAGCTATATCTCATTTACACATATGTGTGGAAAGTCACAAGATGTAACAAATTTAACTTGTAAGGATTCACTGCCTGTCTAAATGAGGCATGGGCATTAACCTAAGTGTCAAAAGCAGATCGAAGAGGATGACAGTCTTCGTATGGCAGTAACACTGACTGCCAAGTGGACACTAAGAAAGGGGTTTGCCCACACATCACCTCTGCATCACCTCTGAAGACATTAGCCAGTTCCTCTGCTTACTCTATAGTGTATCTAGAAACAGAACCAGAAACCTGGTCTGTACTTTTACTGCTTTGATGTGTGTATGATCCTGCATGTAATAGCCAGAGATTTTACTATTTGTACACATTTTTCTTCAGTGTAAATCTGTTCACAATCAACATCATAAAAATCTGAACCGTATAAGTTCTGTTTAATATCATTCCAGGCTTTACAAAGACTTTACCAACTGAACACCCTCACCACTGCCTCCTACTTTTGCCAGTCTAACAGTGCACGCAGTTTCTTCCTAATCCAGTACTGACAAAACACTGGAACTGTTCACCTATCACTGACTTAGCTGAATCACAGAAGACAAATATATTCTACTTCACTATTTAGCTTAGTGTAGCTGCATGAACAATTCATGTCATTTTAGAACTTGCCCATTAGAAAGGCCTTTCATTCTGTGATGGTCATACGCAATTCATTTCACCTCACTGCTTAAGTTAAAAGGTAATACTATATAAAATTAAAATCTTTCTGAAGAATAAGTCCTGAACAAAATCCTGCATCTCTTTAAAACATCCTGCATACATTACTACATTTTTATGTGATTCTGCTAGTTTTCACATAATCAGTAGAAATCAGTTCCTTTTAAAATATCTTACTTAAATAACTGTCTAGCTTTTATCATCTAATCTACCATTTATCTACCAATGCCATCAAATCTACCACTTATCCTTTCTCTATAAAGAGAAATAATGGCATGGCAATATTTCAGTCTCTTCTAATTCAAACTGGAGACTGTTACTCCCAAGCAATAATAGTAAGAAAGCATAGATATCAAACTGAAGTAAACAATTGTATGATTTATACCATTTCAAGTGTTGCATTACATATTTAAGAGCAATAGTAGGTATTCCTGCCTCCTTATGTTTTGAAACTTGTTATTAGTGTGTATTACAATCCCAGTGACTAAAACTGAACATCAAATAATTTTCTGTCCATGTTGTAAAATAACAATAGAAGAGGCAAGAAGTTAAAGCTAACAAATGCTAGAACTGCAAAGCTCACATCTTAAAACCACACAGCACTTGAAACTATGTTCTTTACTGAGGTTTTATCTTCGACTGAATTTCAACAGAATGGAACAGTATATTTTATTGCTTATTTTGTTCAGTGGCTCCACAGTTTTTTGTTTTGTAAACAGTGAATGGACATGATCAACTACTACAATTATAATGACAGACGGTGAATCTGACTCTCCACTGTCTTGTATAGTAAACAGCACTTGTACAGAGCCTGTGCAAACAGATACTTATATTCTGATTTGGCACTGTTTTAAATCCACAGTGGACTCATTTGTACACATATAAGTAGCTATACAGGCTACAAAACAGTGGAGGCTCAAGCTCTGTATTTAATGGTTAGCTAGGACAAAACACATCAGATAGGAAACTGGTTTAGAGCCTTATTCAGACTCAGCATGCAGAAACACCATTTTCTGCAAGACATTTTGTAAAAGGTTCTGCGTTTTTCCTCTAGGTATTTAGCTTAAATGAATAAATAAACACACAAAGATAACTGCCAAGGTTTATGGGAAAGACCTCAAGGCAGCAGCTGAACTTTGCTATGGAAGGTTTTATAACAAATAAAGCAGCCATTATTGCAATAATATTTTCTCAGATTTCTCCTAATTGACACTGCAAATAACTACAGATTCATCAAGCTTTCATAAGCATACCACCAGGTGGCTGTGGATTTTTTCACTTCAGATTTAATTAAAACCCAAAGGACAGGGATTTTCCATCTACTGGAATTAAGCAAAATTAGAAACAGGTTTTATTATGGCACTTGATACTTACACTGCCTTTAGACTTTCGAGATCCCACAATTGGAGGTAGTGCAGACACTTTAGAACTGCAGAAATAAGCCATATCTTAGAATTGGTATGCTGTCACTACCATAGACATTATGTATCAGTCAGATAATGCCAAATCAGCTATGGCAACAGAGTTAATTCTTTTATTCATCGTATATTTTTACTAACAAATACATTACATTTCCCCACAATGCATAATTCATATACAGAAAATTTGCAGAGCAGCATTCAGTGAATTACTAAGTGAAAGATCTCTACAACTATTATAATGAAAAGTTCCAGCAATTAAAAAAATAATTGGTTTACATCAGTTGATCAACATAGTTTTTCAATGTCCTTAAATTCGTTTGTTGCAAATGTTGTTTCCCAAAACACTTTCAAATTCTTTACATTGTCTATAGTTGCTCACTAGAAAAAAACAAAAAACAAAACAACAACAACAAAAAAACAAACAAAAACAAAAACAAACAACAAATTAAGAAAAGTCACAATAATACTGCCTCTGACATTAGTTTTGTGATACATGTTCAGTGGCATATTTATGAGGTGAAATAGTCTTCTGAATTTCCATCTTCTCTTTCATTTTCATCTTCTCAACTTTCTCAGAAGCTGTCAATAAAGTTTTACATCCCTACTAACCCATCCATCTATCCCTCCATCCATTCCTCATGATGATTTTGTACTTTACTGGTGGTACTTTGTAAAGATATTGACACACACAGGCATGTGAGAATTAAACCACACACCTACAGAACTTACCCCTGTGGCCTTCTCATTACAGATTTGCGAAATAGCAGATCACCATACGGCAACTTCTTAAACTTTTCTCTGCCTGCTGCAACATAAATTTGCCCATTCTCCAAGTCTGACCCATTCTGAACAAGTTTTCCATCTATAGTGTAAAGTCTGAAAAATATGAAAATGTGTAATATAATAAACCTTGTTAGGTGCATTAAGAGAGTTGAAAGCTACATTAATCTAAATGCACTAAATCATGTTGAATTTCCAGATATGAAACCAAATAAAATATAGTAGATGACATACAATGATCAGTCACAATATAAACAAGGAAAGACAGAGCAAAATAATGAACTAAATCACAATTTATATAAAACTAATGAAATATAAAGTGCTATGAAAGATGAAATACTCTCATAATTTCTAAAATTAAAGAAATTATACTTAGAAGGTGTTTAATGTCTTTCTCCTGACACCTTGTAAAGGGATCTATTCCATGAGTTCCTCACCCCTCTCATACCAAGCTGCACCTCCTATCTGTGCTCTGGTCATTCATGGCCACTTACTGCAAACCCAGGACCTGTCCACCTACCACAGCATGTACAGGACAACCAGGTGGTCAGGCCCAGTTAGCATGGGTTTATTAAAAGCAGGTCTTGCTTGACTAGCCTGATCTCCATCTATGACAAGGTGACCCACTTAGAGGATAAAAGAAAGGCTGTGGACACTTTCCCACAGCATTCCCCTGGAGAAACTGGCTGCTCATGGTTTGGACAGGTGCACTGTTTTAAAAAATGGCTGAATGGCCAGACCCAAAGAGTTGTAGTGAATGGGATTAAATCCAGTTGGTGACCAGTCACAAGTGGTGCTCCCCAGGAGTCAGTACTGGGGCCAGCTCTGTCTAATGTCTTTGTCAGTGATGTGAACAAGGGGATCTAGTGCACCCTCAGGAAGTTTGCAGGTGACACCAAGTTGGGTGGGAGTGTTGATCTGCTTGAGGGTGAGAAGGCTGCACAGAAGGATCTGGACAGGATGGATCAATGGGCCGAGGCCAGTGATATGAGGTTCAACAAGGCAAAGTATTGGGCACTGCACTTGGGCCACAACAACCTCATGCAACACTCCAGGCTTGGGGAAGAGTGGCTGAAAAGCTGCTTGGTGGAAAAGGGTCTGGGGGTGCTGACTAATGGTCACTGAACAAGGGCCAGCCTGTGCCCAGGCATCCTGGTCTGTATCAGAAATAGTGTGACAGCAGGGTCAGAGAGAGTGATCATCCCCTGCACTCGGCACTGGTGAGGCTGCACCTCAAATCCTGTGTTCAGTTCTGGGCCCCTCACTACAAGAAAGATACTGAGGTGCTGGAGTCAGGAAGGTGGTGAAGGGTCCAGAGCACAGGTCTTTTGAAGAGTAGCTGAGGGAACTGGGGTTGTTCAGTCTCGAGAAAAGAAGGCTCAAAGGAGACCTTATCACTCTCTACAAGTACCAGAAGGGAGTTTGTAGTGAGGTGGGGATCAGTCTCTTCTCACAAATAACAAGAAACAGAACAAGAAGAAATGGCTTCAAGTTGTGCCAGACAGGATAGGATAGTAGGAAAAATTTCTTCACCAAAAGGGTCGTTAATTACTGGAACAGGCTGCTGAGGGGAGTAGTGAGTCACCATCCCTGAAGTTTTTTAAAAGACAGATTTTGTGCTTAAGGACATGGTTTAGTGGTGAACTTGATAGTGCTTGGTCAAAGGTTGAACTTTGCAATCTCACAGGTCTTTTCCAACCTAAACAATTTTCTCATTCTATGATCTGTGACCCTTTGCTGCGCTCGCAGTGTGTCCATGTCTTTCTCAAGTTCCCCTCATGAAAGTACCCTGCTTTTCTAGGTGCCTCCTGCCATATGAAAGTACCTTGGATTTCTAAGTGCAAAGACTGAAAGTTCTTAAAAGTGAAATTGCAGCTTTTAAAATTCTTGATCACATTGTTGCTTCCTTGTGAAGAAGTATGCCAACTCTGAAGCACCCTGTTTGTATTACTTACATTTACTTTTTAGTGCAAATGTTTCACAGGCATGCCAGCAATTCAAAGAACAATTTATGTGTTACAACATTAGTTACACCCAAAAATGAAAATAAAACAATCAGTCTAAAATCAGCAGTAAGCCCATTTCTGAATTAATCTAACTGTGTTTTGCTAGATTACATTTTGCTTTGGGGAACTCAGGATAAAACAGTAAATCAATGTACCAGAGTTTATGAACTGTTTTATATATTTGTATGGTGCTGCAGGTATATAGGGGTTCATACAGACATGACTGTGGAGTTTTGTTCTCAATCTTCCACTTTGCTTGCATTTTAATATTATATTTAATGCACCAAAGTTGTTTGTTTAATATAACTCCCCAAAATGTTATGGGTCATCTGGAAATTTCTAGTGTATTTTTCACCCTGAAAATAATAATCATGATAACTGAATCAAACATAATCAGCCACTGAAGATGAAAGTGAAATCAAAAAAGCAGTTTTAAAAAATGGCACTTCAAACACATAAACAACTATTGACTTAACAAGCATCACAAAACTTTTGTGACACTTAGTTCTGAAGTCTTTTACCCACCCACCTGACCACAACCATTCACAGACCAGCTGAGTTCTCTCTGGCAACTATTACACAACAAAGGTGTCCTTGTGGTCACTTCTTCTGGTCACTGGGGTATAACCCAGGATTTGTCCTGTGGGATGTCAGTGGACTTCCATTTTCCCTCCTGAATCCAAGCCAGAAAGTGGCAACCAAAATAAAGCAAGTACACAGGCTTTCAGTGGTTTTACAGGCACTCCCCTAATGCTTACATAGCTTCAGCAAACCCCAGCAATTAACTTGTAACTTATTAAAGAACAATGATCACTTTACTAACATATTTAATATGTATTCCTAGGATTTTTAGGAAAAATAAAATGAAAACTCAGTTAACAGAAAACCAGAAAAAGGAAATCATTAAATAATTCAAAATGTCATACACATTATCTTATTTCAAAGGATTAAATCTGAGCATTGAAGGGAACTTCTAAAAAGCAATTCCAGCTATGTACAGAATGATTTCTGCTTTCATGTACAACATACAGTTTCACCAAGGAATGACATCAAGTAATAAGAATAAAATGTAAAAGGCTTTTAAATTGCTAAACAACATAAGAGCAGAAAAAAATGGTATGTTGTAAACCACTGTCACCTTGCTCACTTCTGAGCTATACTAGCTGAGAAACAGATCCAGAAAGCTGCAACGTGTGTAAGTTTAGTTAGCTGCAAGTAAAAGTGCTAAGTAGCCAAATAATAGGAGCAAAGAAATGCAGGGCTGAGAGGAAAAATTAGGCAAGAGCTGACAGTCAACAGATAGCATGACCTTCATCAGCATAGGCTCTGGGAAAGCAACCAGAATTGAAAGACTACCTTATCTTCACTGGGTTGAGAAAGATTTTGCAAGCTTAGCCTCAGACACTGTGTAAGCTGTGAAGAATGATTTTCTACAAAAGGCTTTTTCCCATCTGAGGAATGGATTTCTGTGATGTGCTCCTCATGGGGCAGCACTGGAATGTCAATAATTTGCCTGTACACACCTTGGCAGCCCATTTACACAACGTTTCTCATGGAAACTGTATATATCATTTTCTTCTAAAACTTGCACCAACTACCTTACACTACTTTAGAGAGCTTATTTAGAGAGCCGCAGGGACTGAAACTTACCTATTCAAGAGCTCAATTCCTGTTCCTGGGAGAACACAATAACTCAGCCCAACTGAGATACTAGAACTGGCAAACTCCCAACTCCAACTTTGGCCTTGGCTCTTATTACAAGGCTGAGCTGGCTGAGTATAGAGCACATCCTAATCATAGCACAGGTCTTCAAAAACCCAAGAATCTATAGTATTTTTCTTGTTTTTTTTTTCCCAAATGATTTTAAATACCAAAATTAAAAGGAAATATGGATAGCACCGATTATCGCACATTACAAACTTCTTCACCAACTTTATCATGCTCATTTATTTTATTCTGGCCTGTAACTTAATTATTAATACTAAATATATTGCATTATTATTGTATTATAAAATGCCTGCTAACTAAATATTTAATCAAGAAATAACAGTTGAAACAAGTTGAGCTATTTGCATTTTCAAATGGCAGTTAAAATGAAACATGAAGGCTGCTTGGGAGTCAATATATTCTAATTTGTGACTTCTACATGTATTTTGATTTTCTTATAGTGGAATTTCCCATGAAGCAGAAATGATCCATTATATCTACCTATGGAGTTGCAAAAAACATATCTACACATATCAAATGTATCTTGTAAATAGCTTCCTGATACCTGTGAACAGCCCCACTTCTGATGGTAACTTTTCCTGTAACCATTTCAAGAACATGATCCCAGTGATTCAGTGTTTTCCTGGGAATGAGGAGGCGTACTACAGGGCTAATGAGGTCTCCATTAGCAATCAGGCTGAAATAAAGCAAAGTAAAATAATTTAGAGGAGCATTTTAAACAAAACTACTTAAGATGCCACCACCCCCAGCCCTGAAATGGCAGTTCGCTAACTGAAAATTCTACTTACAAAATAGTGTAGGGCTCCTGGAGTGGTTTTCGAAACCGGGCTGACACAGTGATTCGACTGTGAGTAACAGGCTTGACCTGCAAGGAAAAAAAGAATTAGAAATTACTCAATCTTCACATTAGGAACGAGTTTGCCTCAAACACCACCAGCAAGGGGGACAGCATATCTGCAGAAAGACGCTCCTGTTTTTACACCACAAATTTTATTCCCTTCCAGCTTCACCTTCTACACACAGCAATACGTAATTACTTCTGCAGCTTTATATACATGTTGGAGAGCAGTCACAGCATAGTACACCACAGTGCAACATGGCACAATGTATGATTTCCACTGAGAGGTTATTATTGTATGGACATCTTTGGTGACTTCTCAGTTGTTCCTAGAGACCCAAAGCAACACTTCCAAACACTGTTTTCGCTTTCTTAGTCTTTAACGCTCATAACCATGGTCCAAGCAATTAAACCATCTTCTCTTTTTAACCATAAATGTCATCTATAGGTCTCTTTGCTAGTATGTAATAATAATTATTATGTAATAATAATAAAAGTACTTATTATGTAATAAATACTTTTCCTCTTGCACAGGTCTTTTCATCCAAATCTATCAGACATTTATAAAGGTTGCTGAATACTAAGCTTATTAAAGGGTGATGACTCACAAGTGAAGTGAACTGCAGATTTTTAGCTCTCAGAATAAAACATAGGCTATTTCCAGCATTATTCCCTGTATTACTTTGAGGAGACATTGTATTGAGATCAATCAGGTGGGTCTTCTACAAGAGGAGAGACAGCAAGAAAGATGCTATTGCCACATTGTGACAACAATGTTAGTGGACCTTTCCTTTATGCAAGCAATTTACTGGGCAGTGTTTTTACTCCTTAATAATTATTTCACATATACATGTTTGTCTTGGCCACATACAATGAGAAATTTTGTACCAGACTGTATGTATGCTATGTATTAATGCCTAAGGCAATTATAATTCATAGACTTGCTGTTAATTCCAATGTGCTCTGAATCAGGTGGAAGATTCACACCTACTACTACAGGCCTGGAAACAGAGCAAGAGGAGACTAAGAGGTTGCTATAACACATCTCATTAGGGGAAGCAAAGAAATTTTTTTGCGACTGCCAAATAATTTAGGAACTCAGCCATTCTTGCAGATACATTTAAAGCACATTTTTCAGAGTATAACATGTCATTTAAATCACCAAAATTAGAGATGAAAATTTATTGAGTCTCTAGGAAGAAAAAGAAAACATATCTTAAGCTGCAACATCTGAAAACATTTCTACCGGTGCTGTCATCCATCAAGGTTATTTGCCCAACATAAGCAACCTAATTGAAGGCTTCAGAAAACAGAAAAAATAAGGTAACTTTCTAAAAAGTATGCTACTGAAGTGTAAGGCAATACTGATTTACTTCCATAGTACCAGGTCCTAACATTTAGACTCCAAACAGAGGTTGCATCCAAGCCAGGAATGACTTAACTTTGGCTGGCCATACACCTTTCTGCATAGATGCTAGATTGCCAGACCAATCCCCTATAAGGTATTCAATATATAACTAGTAAAGCCTCACATTGCTTTTTCTAAAGGTTGATTCCTCATGCATACTTGTGCTCTTGATACCTATGCTCAAGCTCTCACAGGCTCCAAACAGGCCATCAAACTAAGTTCTCTGATCGAGTCTGCAACGCACAGGTTCCAATGATCCACACTTTACTGGAACTAGTTAGAAAGCATTCACTAAGTATGAAGGAGCACTTTAGGATAGTCCCATGTGTGCCCAATTATTTAGTTGTTCTTGCAAGCTGATGAAACCATTGATTCAGCTGATGAAACCATTAAGGTAGGCTCCTAAGAAGGCCATCATGTTATTGCATGCAGTCCAATCACCCAGCCCCTGAGAAAACAAGCAACTTGCCATGTTAAGTGCTCATTTATTATTCAAAGGATTGTATTTCTCCCAATAATAGCTACTGTGGCATCAGCTTTCTGACAAGTCTTTCTTTTGGGTTAATCTATCAGAGCATTAATATTTCCAGCAGCCTTCTGTGGTCTAACAAGTCAGCCCTGTTCTTGAACAAGTAAACTTCAGGTGACTGTAAGATGGGACCAGCTTGGGCAGAGACAATGTTTGTTTTTTCTACCTAAGCATGGCCTAAACCAAAATAAAATACAATTTTGTGTTGTTTTGTTAAGCATTTTTAGATCAACTGTAACTGTCTTAAAAGGTGAAAAGAATACATTGGTCAAATATTACATTTACTAATGTAACACCACAAAAATCAGTGCATAGAAACACTAAGGTGACTATGACACTATTAAAACACCCACAAGTATTTACCACAGTGCATAGACCAGACCTCAATTTCTGGGAGCTTAGAACAGAGTAGCCTGGACTAAATTAAGCAGATGCTGGACCACAGTGGCACAGAGCATTGAAGAGTCTTTTGCCACACCCAACATGAATAGCAAGGACGAATGTACTGCTCTTGGGGTCCACATGGTCTCAAGCTGATGTTTAGGCTATTGTTGTTTGTCTGGAAGATGAGGGGTAACTAGTGTCTTTGGGACTGCTTGGCTTCTGAAGGTACATTTTACACCTGATCTGCTTTCAGGGGGCAAAAAGACATATAAACTCTTTATATTCATCCAGGACACAGGGACAACACTGATGCTGCAAATGAGAGAGAAGAAAGGAGGAAATAAATACATGAATTATAAGAAAATTAAAAACCAAAACACAATAAAACAACAAACAGAGGAAAGTGCCTGCACAGGGCACTGCAAATGAGCTGTGTAAATCATCTCTAATTTTGAAGCTGGCAAGTATGCAAACATGCAAGCAACTGCCACATAGTATAGTATAGCATTCCACAACGCACAAGAGAGAACTTACAGATACCCAAAGTATCTTCTGGCTACAGAATAGTATATCAAGCTCTCCAAGCACAAAAGCACAAAACTCAGCAAAACCAACTCTAGCCTGCTCTGAAGCCACCTGTTTAAAAAACAGTTCAGCTAGAGGTACACAGCACTGTGATTGAAAACAAAACCCTCTACCCTATACACCATTCTTCTAATTAATGTGACTGTCCTGCTGGTTTTTTGGGGTTTTGTTGCTTTTGGTTTGGTTTGGGTTTTTTTGGCACAGCCTTCAAGTTACTAACTCTTAGAATTTAGAATGATTTATGTCAGACTAATGTTAAATTTATTATGGTTATGAAAAGCAAGCCACATAATTTCAATGCACAGAAATATACATTAATAAAAGACCAAGTGCCCAGCCACTGTAAATCAATCGCGTTCTTTTGAAGTACAGGGAGTTATGCCAAACCACCAAAGCAGAAGACCTGACCAAGGATTTAATTAAAGCATTCATGCTTCTGCTCCTATTTCCTTTGTAGGAGGTACCACAGTGCTGCAGTGTCTGGAATAGCCTGACCCCTCTGCCACTGAAGAGTTACATATTAACAGTGATGTGGTCTTGGGTGAAAAGTTTCTGCTTACATTAAGATACCAGCATCACTAGCCCCCTAAGCCCTTCATTTTCTTTTAATTTCACCAGCCACATTCTCAGCCAGTGTAAATCAGCACCTTCCCATTTACGTCAGCAATTACACATTAATCAATGGTCTGGCCCCATTATGATTTTATCTTTGAATTTTGCACATTTTCAGTTTGTTTGAAAAGACCCATTCAAGGGCAGCTTCCATATCCTCCTCACAAATGCTGCCAACATTTCATAATTTGTGATGGCATACTCATCTGAGTTATTACACAATAACATACAGCAGCAACACAAATTATTTGGGGGAGGAAGGAGAAAGCATTATATTACTTGAAACTCAGAGGGAACTTTAAGATGGGGACAAGAAATCAGATAAGAATTTGCAGTGCAACAAGGAGCTAAAACCAGTTGGAAATGTACCCTGGGATCACAGACACTCAAAACTACCATAATTTTTACCACTCTATTCTACAATGAATTTGTTGCTGTTTTCCACAGTGCCTCTTACACCAACAGCAGTGTGGATGATCCTTGCTTCAGAGAGGAGTTACTACCTGTCAAATTTTGCAAAGCACCTTGCAGAGTCTGGGAAAAACAAAGCAGCTAAACTCAACACAGGCTAGATTCTGGGAGTGGGGATCAATCTGCAGTGTTTGAGATCTCTGTAAACACTCAAATTTCAGAATACATTTTACAAAAAGTCTAGTAGAGCCCAGCTTTCCTCTTCAGCTGGAATTCACTGCAGCTGAATTTGTGTTGCTGAATGTTAGCTACTGCTGAGTACCTTCTAACATTCCTTTGAAAATAAAAATCCAAGATGCAGATCAGCATCTAACTGAAATACGGTAAAAAAAAAATCCGCAACCGCACAGCTGCTTTATAACAACATTCACTATATTTTTCACTTACGCTAAAAAAAATTGCTTAATATGCATAAAATTTAACAAACACAGACAAAACACTTAGCAAACACATACAACATATTGCACGATATACTTCAGGGTACTTACATCTTCCACTGTTGACTGCGGGCAAAAAAAACAAAGCAAAATGATCAGCAACCAAACCATTACCTCAGGAATACTACTATATGTACACATATGAAAAACAGTTTTTGTAAGAAAATCACTTTGAATTAGTGCTTGCACATCCACATCTATGTATGCATATAAAGCGTGTGCATGCATACATATATATACCAACTTACTATAACTTTCATACAAAAATTTCTATTATGTTTATGTGGTCCAGCTGACTACATGAAGGACTGAAGATCAACAAAAAATGTGTTATTCCTTTTTAGAACACTGTTAACGGGCTTTTGCTCATGCAATGCTCTAAAGCTCTAAGTAACCCACACATTGGCTTGAAATACAGATAAAAAAAAAAGAATATTTTTTACTTCTTTGTTCAGAAATGTGTTAACCAGTAAAAAGTAAAAAACACAATCCCTAAAATGGAGATGTAGCAAAATTATATTTTGATTGGTATGAACCTATTAGTTGATCCCAGTGCATAAAGTTTTTGCTTCTATGACTGCTACATTATCCTTTTCACACT